AACATTAGTATACAAGTAGCTCCATGCAGACAATGGAAACATTTCTTTAACTAAAGAGAACGATTCTCACAGCGGATCATGCTGCTTTACCTTATCATTAGGACTGTTGAAGAACTTGGAAAGGTAGACGTGATTGTTAGGATCATTATCAAACACCGTTACCAAGGGAATACTAGATTCTTCAATGAACTTCTCCAACTTAGCTGCATCAAAGTCCTGAATTCATAGCTCCAATAAGAATCAGCGTGCTAAAAATTAAATCATAAGAACCCAAATTTAGCACACAATGAAATGAAATTCTGGTACCTTAAAATCAACAAATTGTTCATCAAATGGCTTGAAAAGCCTGACGATCGGGCCAGATACAGATGTTTCTCCGCGTGGAAGTAGCTTAGCATCCAAAGTGTGACCAAAACTATAGTCAGAACGTAACTTCTCAGCCAAAGCCATGTAACTATCGAACTCTTCTCCAGAAAGTTTTGGAAAGATCCCAACCTGCAAAACCAAGGGAAATTAATTTTCTTAACTACTATACAGGAAAAATGTAACAACACAAAGCTGGAAAGATAGAAAGGATGAGAGTTCTAGTTCATACAATGAAAACATTCTTAATGAGATTACTAGCATCCTCTCCGGATTTAATTTCAGCAGATGCAGGCCCACTTTGCTTCTTCAAGTAGTCAGCAATCCCCTCTGCATCGCGAGGTCCCTTATAGTCTTGACTTGATTTGCCCCCGTTTCTGAGTATCTTAATAGTGGGGAAGCCCCTAATTTCAAATTGACCTGCCAACTCTCTGTTTGACTCTTCATTTGCATCAATTTTGGCCAAGACAATTGGAGGGACATGACTGCTCAAAATCGACGCAGCTTTTTCATACTGTATAGAAAGATAAGATTGGATAAAGCCATACGCAACAAGGACGTCAAGTATAATTCAACTAAAACACCTTAGAATGGGATATGAAAATTAGCTTACCTCCGGTGCCAGTTTCTGACAATGCCCACACCTAGATCATTGAGGGAAAATGTAAGAAGGAGTAAGCTCAATAACAATTCATAATGTACTAATGGAAAATTTAAAACATCATAAATATGATATGAAGGTTGAAATCTGCATCGATTCCAAAAATTTCCACTGCTTCTCAAGGGAAAGGATCGCAAAAAAGAAAAAGTCAAAACATAAATTGTTTTCATCATTTCAAAATCACTCCCAATTGCCCCAAGTACTCTTAAGATTCCAGTTCTGCATGCGTAAAGAACAACAAAATCCCAGAACCAACAGTAAAAGTAATAAGATCAAATATGTTTGAAATGAATACTTGAGAATCCACTGCGCAGTTGACTGTGTCCTCAAATTCACACATCGAACAAAAAAAACCGAAAATCAAAATAACACCACCAAAACTGTTTAAACAACCATGCACTAAAACTATCCTATTGAAACAGAGAAAAGAGGCAAATTACACGATAATAATGCGAAAAATAAATCAAGAAAAAACCCTAGAATCCGGACTAAAAGCAAAATGGATCCTCACAAAAATCACATAAATCAAACCACATAGCAGCCATGAAAAAGATCTGAGATGGAAACTTGACCAAGTACAAAAAGTAAATGGAAGTCAAGAAAACCATACCAAGGGGCGTAGAACTCAACGACGATGAAGTTATGCTTGGAAACAACATCCGAGAAGTTGGAATTATCCAAAGTGAGAACAAATTCCTTCGCCTCAGCCTCTTCCGCGTAGATCTCAATGAAAGAAGCAGAGAAAAGAACAGAAGCAAGCACAAGGAACCGAATCAAAGATGAAGACGCCATTGTCAAGGCACTGGAAGAAGCTCTCTGTAAGCGATATGCAGAGGGGTTCAGTCCGTGGAGGGGGGGTTTTAATGGGAACCGGCTGAAGGAGTTTTTTCCTTTTTATTTTTTATTTTTATTATTATTTATTTTTTTAAATTAGGCTGAAGGAGTTAGATAGACAGCGATACAAATATGGTACTCGCACTGCTCATTGGACAATTTTCCACGTGGACTTTTCTTATTGGTTGAGTCTTGTCATTTGTATTTTTTTTTCACTCGCGGGTCACACGCTTGGCGATTAAATCGCCGATTAATCAAACAAAATGTCTTCGCCGTGGAAAAAAGAAGCCAACATTTTGAGATGTCGATTAGCCAATTAAAAGACGTGGCGAATATTCAATGGGCGTCGTTCATGGAAAATATCTAGTCAACTGAATATGATTGGTTCATTACTTTGTTCTCCGTGGTCTTGCGTGTACTGGAAAAAAACTCTGTTGGATTGGTTTCTAATTCGATTTGTCGACTTGAAACGGTTTTACAGATTTTCCTCGTGACGACAACGGCCTTACAGAATTTGATGCCATTCTTAGGCAATAATGATGATGATGATAATAATAATAATAATAATACTAATAATAAAAAAGTTAAATTATTAAGGTGAAATGCATATTCAATTATAAACTAGGGGCATTTATGGATTTTTTTGTGGGTCGGTAGCCACGATCAAGACTCGTAGCTCCTTTTTTTTTTTTTTTTTTTTTTTATCGAGACCCTCTCTCAATAGTAGAGAATCCTTAAAAAATTGAAGCTTTTCATAGGTAAGAAATGGTCGTTGTAGGATAGTTATATGAAAATACAAATAAGACGTACTCACAAAAAGATGTTAATTTTTTTTTTTTTTTTTTAATAAAAATCACTAAACTTCTAAAATCTTTAACAGTTCAGTCCACAACTTCTATAATCTAAAATTCTATTTTTTTTACAATAAATATTGTACTAAAAAATATTAATTAACATGTTTTTATAAAGTAAAAGAATATATATAAACATAGTATAATATTGAATTATATTAATTTAATATTAAATATTAAATACATAGTTGGTCATCAACATAATTAGCGACTTTGGTAGATAAGATTATTGCTTATACAAAATATAGGGTGATTATTTAACGACATTTATATAAATTATATATTCATGTGTATAAATATAATGTATTGGATTGTATATATTTATCATTTTATAGTTTGATGCAAGGTCCCATAGAAATATTACATAGTTTATTATATAAGTTATGGTGAAATTATGCATTAAAAAACTCACTCATTTTGAGAAAATACGACTGGTGGAGAAAAATAAATAAATAAGTAAATGGGGCCAGTGGACATTAATTGGAGTTTTAGTGTGGTTAATTGTAGATAAAATTTTCATTAATGCATAATTTAATAATGTAAAGTCTAAATCTAATTAATTATTTAATATGAAAAAGCAGATAAATCAATGGTAAATTGGAGGAAAAAAAGCTGGAGCATTTTGAATTAATATAAAGCTGATTTTTTTTTCCTTAAAATGGACATTTATGAAATATGGATTTAAAAATAGGATATTTGTAATAATTCTGTTGATTTTATTTTATTTTATTGATTAATATATGACGTTACCTCATCTAAATTACACCTAATAATTTAATGTTCTAAAAGTCAAATTATTTCACGGAATTCTTCCACTTAATGATTTTAATGACCAAAATTAGTGGGTTTATTTATTTAATTTTTTTAATAATTATGAATTGGAAATTGAGGTAATAGTCGTCCAATCAAGTTTCAATCTTGGGTTTTAAATTAAGTAATTTAAAATTTTTAATCTTGGGTTTTAAATTAAATAATTTTAAATTTTTAATGCTACAAAATCTATTTATCATCCTCTTTGTTCTTTACATATGGAGTGAAGAAAATTCAAAAATTAATTTTATTGATTTGAAATATCGAAAATGATTTTAAATTATTCTTCATTTAAAAATTGAGCAAAAAATATTAGACGCACATTTCACATAAAAAAAAAAAAAAAAAAAAAAAAAAAAT